TTTTTTTTTTTTTTTTTTTGGTTATTAACGAAAACTATCTATGTTTAAGTTGCTTGAGCCAGAGAAATAGTGCTTGTTGACAATGCTGCTTTGACTAATAGTTTTTCCTTTCAAAGAATCCCTTGGAGGTACATTCTTTCTACTAATTTTCGTCAGTTAGGAAGTCCATGAATTTCGGCCGTAGTTGAAATTTTCCTTTGATGTCAATTAGAAATAAGGAACCTGACGGTGCCTTGTAAAATGTATGACCCCTTTCATCTTTGTGTCTATAACATTTGTTCCTATTTATCCGAACAACAAATTTGGTGTGTTTCTATGTCCGTTATGCATTATTTTTGCTTAGGATTTATATCGCCGCTGGTTTGATGGTGAGGGATAGAAATCTTGTCCCAGTTTCTAATAAAGCTTACGATGCTTCAAGCAATCGAGTGTCATGCGGATTTCATTTATACCTCTTCTACAGCATGTTTTGTTTGAGGGTTTTGAGGGGAATAAAGGAGAGGGGAAGAAAATAAATAAATATATTAACGAATCCAGAAGGTTTTTTTTTTCCTCTTGTCCCTTCAAATCTTTTTGATAATTAAATAGAGGAAATTTTTTCTCTCCATTCTCCTCAATTTAATTATATTGTAAAGCATGGTTTCTATTGCAACAAAACTGTCGAAAAAGTTGAGGGAATGCATTTCATTTCTCTTGGCCTCCTGGACCATTGATTCCAGTTGGATTTTCCTAAATTAAAGGAAAGTGAGAACTAGAAGTTTAAGATGAAAATTGAAAGAGATGAGGTGAGTTGATTTACAGAAAAGGAAAGGAAAGACCGACTTAGTGTCCGTTTGGTATTTGGAAAGTATGGGTTTCCCTTTTAAATGTATTTTAGTATATTCATTTTTCAATATAACAACAAATCAATGGTAAAGTTGAAATGAACCGGGCTTTTAAAGCCAATGGTTCGATTCCAAGCCTTCGTGCTTGGGTGAGGCGGTAGTCAGAGCTTCGAGCTCTACCACCGTCATGAACTCTATCAAAAAGCGGCTTGATAGCCACGCGTCTCATTTGAGGGGGTGGAATGTTCAACCGATCTGGGGTTTCCAGTTGCTAACAACTACTTCATACTAATTTTCTAATCATTATCCTTATCAAAAAATGGTAAAGTTGAAATAAAAATTAAGGAAAACTAGAACCCACAGCAAGAGAACAAAGGCCGGAACAACACTAAATAGCCGACGGACTAAGGCCATGATTTAAAGTCCATTTAAACAATTCTTATTATTATTCCTAGGCCCAATTAACCAAGCCTACTTTTAAACAGAACAAATTTTTTTCAGGCCCATTGTTTTCAAGCTTGCAGTGCGCTTAGTCTTAAATGAAAACAGAACAAAGTTGTGCAGTGTTAATTTTGAATAGAAAGAATTTGATTTTTTTTTTCAAATAAGATTTTGTATTTGAATTTTATAAATAGAAAGATAAATATTAGAAGAGGTTTTTTTTTTTTTATATAGTTTAATTTAACTTGATTTTAAATTTACTAGAATTTAATGTGGCTTTTCAAATAATAAAATGTTAAATTAAAAAAATTCATATCCATAGCAAAAGGAGCTTAAGAGGTAACATGACAAATTTTTTGCAATAAAATTCTTTGTCATTACCATTGCAATACCTAATTGTATACCTGCCAAATTATT